CAATTCCCCACTGTGGCTCCTTGACATGGGCTGGACTCCATAGGGTCCCTTCCAGCTGTGCAGTTCTAAGATGATGATGATGATGATTTAAGGGAGATTGCTCAAACTGCTTCATTCAGAGTACTTGTCTACCTCTTCCTAGGAGGCATTAACAACCTTCTAGGTCAAGGAAATGTGGCCTTCTAGATATTGTTAAATGTGAGAGTTTTAGTCCCACATCATCTGGAGGGCCCCACGTTCCACTGCACTTCCTTACTTTGCCCATCACCCCTCCAGCTGGATGTTAGAAGCCATGGAATTAGGGGTTAAAGTGATAAGTGGTCAACCACATTCCACCGAACACCTTCTTCATATCCTCAGGCTGCAAGTAGAAGTGATCCAAGCAACATACCCTCAAATTTTCAGCCCCACTGGGCGGGGCTCCACCTCTCTCATGTATGACTTCACCCCTGCATCCACCTGCATCTCAGCACCCCTCATGTGCAGGAACTGGAACCACATGTGATTGCTGCACGGAGGAGGAAGAGAGCTGTGCAGAGGGAGGTGGAGTCGTACACACGCACGCATGTTCCCAGTTTGGAGGGGATCTTGGATTCAAGAAACCAGAACCAACCTGTGCAATAGATACAGCAGTACAATGCAAAAGGTCACATTGAAATTGCTGAAAACACAGCAGTTTTGCCATAAAACACACCACAGCAGGCTATCTAGACCAGTGGTTCTCCAACTGGGGTCCCCAGATGTTTTTGGACTACAACTCCTAGAAATCCTAGCCAGCATAGAAAGTGGTGACGGCTTCTGGGAATTGCAATCCAAGAAATCTGGGGACCCTGGTTTGAGAACCACTCACTTCTCTAGAGTACTTTTGCTGTGTCACTGCCATAAACTGCATAGCTCTTAGTTGCGTTCACTTTGAACCTTCCGCCTTCTCTGTTTCAACAATCTAGCTAATGGTTCCATTGCCCTGAGCTTCCCCATAAGCCAAGAATTAGAGTCCTTATTAGTTGGAAAAGGCAAATTTTGCGTTTTTCTTATTAATTGCTCAGGTATTGAAGTGTCAGGAGGAGCTTCGAGAGCAGAGCTAGCTCTGCCAAATAGAAATTTCCCCATAGTTGTGAAGAATTCGTCAGCCCCTGAGGACCAAGCTAAACAATCTTACTGTGGTTCTTTTGCAGAAGTGCTCCTTCAATTGCTGAAATATATCTGTCTCTCCCAGTAAATGATTTTCATCACCAATATATCTTGCATTTAGCATGCTTTGCTTTGTGATTGGTTACTGGAAGGTAAATGTGGGCTTCATTCACATGTACTGCTGGGGCATGCCTCTCGGAAGCAATCACACTTGGGATAGTAAATAGGTTAATCATTCAGAATATGTATTCATTTTAATGTCAAAGTTGGGTCCTTTGAGGACTTAAGAGAGCCATGATCTTCCACACTGAGCAGATTTTATCCTGGAGGTACAGTATGTTTCAAGTCCTTCTGGCTAGTCAAAAGACAAAACCATGAAAATGCTAGAATTCCTTGTTTTGACCTTGGCAGACAACCACATATGCAGGAAATGTTGTTGTGTGTACATCATGGTTTCACACAACAGGCAAAAATTGTAGGTTGGTCTACTGTATGTCTTTGTGTACATATACAAATATCTTAAGTATAGTGCTGTCTGGGGTTTAAGGAAGAAGTCCTTGGCATGTTTATACCAAGGGTCTACATGCGAATGATGCCAAAGTAAGGAATGATCTGGTAGTGGTGATGTTATGGACCATATATGATGGTCATGGACCTAATGACCCAACTAACATTAAGCACATGAAGCACTTTGGTTTCAGTGGAAGAGTAAACCGGCTATTTCAGGCTCTCCCACTGAAATCTGTGGAATGTACTTATATGTGCTTAATTTTAGCTGGACCATGCCCAAAAGTGTATCTGTAGTTTGGAGAACAAAGAGCCGTCCCTTGCAGAACGAAATCTTGCTTCGAAAACAGGCAGGGCTGATAGATTAAAAGAGCAAGGCCAGGCCACAGAGGGCAGTGCATCGCTTACTGGACCTGGACCAAAGACAGCCATCTTAGAATCCCCACTCAACTCTGAGGCTAACAAAGCTGTCTTGGCTATCTACTCAATTTCCTTCATAGGACTGTTGAGAGGACTCCATGTGGGAAACGCTATATCTATAAAAAAGACAAAAAGCAGATGTATCATTCTGTACTGAAAATTATCTCCCCCCCCCTTTTGCTCGTTTGAATGCTCCAGAATGTCACTGCCAGCTAGAGTGCATAAGGCCATGTTTGCATAAGCAGTTCAGAAGGTAGAGAGGCGGTAAACCCAAAGAAGGCTTGTTTTCTATTTCTCAAAACAGGTTGGTAATGATATACAGCAGCCTCGCTCTCCCCACCAAAAAACTTTCCACATGAAATGTGGTGTGCTCACCACAACTGGGACACCTGCGACATCATGCACAGGCTTTTGGCTGAGACACAAGATTGTGTGAGAGATAGCCTCAGGCACTGAAACTGCTGCTGGAGATGCTACCCCCAGGCGTGCTGCTATTTCTAACCCTGACAGGAAGGATGACAGATCGTCTGAGCACCACAATGTAAAGACCCACACACTGTGGTAACTGCCACTCAGGACAAACGGTTGCAGAAACAAATGTCATGCCACATCCTGTTGTGCTTGAAAAGGCCCTCCTTCAAGCTTGGCTCCAAGGGAGTGCAGGCAAGCAGAATGATTTCCTAAAGCTCTTCTCTGAAATATTTTTCCATGGTGACCATTGCTGGTAATGTCTGGAGCTGACCAACCTTTTTACAGGCTGCTCTGATTATGAACTCTCCCTGTTCACTTAGAGCTGGGCCAAATATTGGCCAAGCGGAGAAAGCATGGGGGATTTCCCAGTTCCCACCTCTTCCCCATGTTCACTCTGATATCTTAAATCAAACATTCAAAAGAATGTTGTGACTCTCAAAGCTCTAAATCTGAGCACTTTAGACCTGGTATCAAGGCACTAGGAGCAGCGGGTTGTTTTGGTAGGCATCCAGTATGGAAGAATGAGTCAAACTTCAGCTGGCTGACTAGCTTGGTGAGCCAGAATACCAGAGTTTGGAAGCTGGATTCTCCATTGTGCCTCTGGTAAGAAAAGCCAGCCTGTGTGGTCTTGGGCAAGCTGCGCATTCCTGAAGTACCTACAGAATAAGGCCCTGTGTGGTCTTGGGCAAGCTGCACATTCCTGAATTACCTATAGAAGAAGGTGTTGGTAAACCTTCTGAGTCCTCTATACCTAGAAAACCCTGAGAAGGGTGACCACAAGTCAGAATCTACTTGATAGCACACTATTTATTTTTATCATTATACGCACTAGAAGGTTTTAGGGTCTACTTTATTATTTTTACAATATCCCTGAGATCCATTCACCAATGCTTGTACAAAAGACATACCTTTAGAATGTGAATCACACAAAAACAGAACTGAACTCATAGTCCTGCCCTATGCACATTTATTCCTCTTACTCCTGGCTATCTTCATTTTAGCATGGATTCTGGATTTCATTGGGGAATGAGGTGGCCGTTTTGTTACAGCTATTCTTAAACAATAAAGAACCCAAAATGTTGGACGATATACTCCAGGTCACCCAGAGATCTACCAGCAAGTCCTCTTGATCCATCCTCTGCCTTCCCTTGAAGCAAGGTATCAGTTGTCAGCCATCATGTCCAGCTAAGAAAAAACCTTCTGTGAAATTTGCCAAAAACAATGGAATGGTAAACAGGGTAGCTTTTGTCTTGACACTCTACCGTGCAGCAAATGTTTCAGTGGTCAGTTCTCACCTGCCATCTAAAATAGTATCATCCAGAGTTAGACACAGAGCTGCCATCTCAGTGAGAATTAAGCCTAAGAAACTTTAGACACAGAGCTGCCATCTCAGTGAGAACTAAGCCTAAGAAAACAAAGAGGTATTTGATGATTCCCTCATATCCTGAGTTAAAAAGAAAAGTCACTTTACTGGCATATAGTTTTGCAACAGGAGATGTAGCTTTATTATTCGAATGATGCATTCTGCTCTAGAGTCAGTGGTTCCCCAGATGTTCTTGGACAGCAATTCCCAGAAACCTTCACCCCCAGCTATGCTGGCTAAAGTTTCTGGGAGTTGCAGCCCAAGAACACCTGAGTTACCCAGGATTGAGAACCACTGATCTATGTATGTGATGGAAGCATTTATATGTGCACATCAGAATTCATAGCACTACCGTAGGATACTCAAGTGCAAATGCAGTGAAAGCTTCCATCTTCGGAGGGAATGATTTCTCCTGTACATTCCCCTTGTGCTTGTTCCAGTCAGAGGAAGCCCTTCATTCATGGGAGAAAATAATGAACAGGGCTAATTTTTGGGTTATCTGCATGGCGGCTCCTCTTTTTGGAGCTCCCTTACAGAAATTGGCTTGAAGGTCTCAAGAGCTTAACCAAGATTTTAAATAGATGTCTCTTTCACCAGATTGTGATGTGATTGTGATGCGCTTTAACTTGTTGGTTCAGCCTGTGAAGATGAGTGCATGTCTTACTTTAACTATTTTATGTATTCATTGTTTTAATGCAGTAAGATGGATTTAGGTGCAGGGTGCAAAATGATAACAAAAATAAAAACATAAATGAATGTGAGAGAGGAATGGAAGAGACAATTCAGGGATGAGAATGTTCTGCTTTTAGAAAACAGCAACAGATAGAGGGACATTATATTCATTTCTGCCCGGTCACCCAAAAACTCTTAGCTTGCAATAATTTCAAACTTACCTTTGGTTCAAAAGTACAGTAATCCATTCATACTTAACAGTGAACTGGTCTTCTCTGTTAGTAAGCAATAACAGGAAACCCCTCACCTCCTTCTGGAGAAAGGCATTGCCCTCACAAAATGTTGCTTGCAACATCACATTGCCTTGGGTCTGAGTCTCTGAACTATTATTATGCAGCACAGAGTAACTTGCAAAATAAATCACAGGAAAGTCAGCAAAACTGTTCTGTGACTTTACTAAAAATAGGTCAGGACAGAGAATCAACAAAAGTTTACAAGGCATGATAGTCAAAGAGAGACTCTAGCAACTGGAGAATCACATACATTCATATGGTTGCAATACTATCTACCCCTGCTTGGAAGTAAAATCTTGTTTATCTTGGTAGGATGCACTTCTGAGCAAATTATGCATAAGCTTCTGCTGCGCATGTTGAATCTGAAACTCAGTAGAACTTTAAGGCCAACCTCCTTCTCTGGAGGTAAGTCCTATGGGATTCAGTATGGCATGTTTGTGAAAAAAAACATGTATAATTAAGGTTGCACTATGAAGCTGCACCTCTGCACAAACTTAGTTCCAAGTAAACAGAGTAAAAACAGAAAAGAAACACCAGAAAATATTATTGCTTTTTCAAAAGTACAGCAGTTAAAAAGCATCCGCAAGCAATTATTAACTCAAACTATTGACAGTTTGTGGCACTCTAGATTTTTCAGCGCAGCCATGTATCTCTTGCTTCTCAGAGTTCGTTCAGTACAGGTGACATGTGCTTCCAGCCGAAGGGCTTCTACAGCAATGGATGTCACTGGGCAAAAAAAAAAAAGTAGATTGCAGTAGATTATTATCCTCAGCTAGTTTCTGTATTTCAAAACTAGATCAGACACCGGAGCAAGTCTCCCTAAAACCACACACCATCTCTTTGATTAAGAGGGCCAGAAGCAAATGATGGTTCTAGACTTCCTATACTGTTGAAGAGATTTGGGAAGATGTATTCACGAAAGCTTTCACGGCCGGGATCTAATGGTTGTTGTGGGTTTTTCGGGCTCTTTGGCCGTGTTCTGAAGGGTTGTTTCTCCTAACGTTTCGCCAGTCTCTGTCCCGAAAAACCCACAACAACCATTCTATTTGGGAAGAGTTTGGACATGGATGACTGGGGATATTCATTCTTCTGAGTCAGTCCTTGAATGGGTAGGAATCCAACCACACTTCAAGGCTGATGGTCACAATAGTGCAGAACCTCTACCCCACCCTGATCCTCTGGGCCAGTGCTTCTCAACCTTGGTTAACCCAGACTTTCTTGGACTGCAGTTCCCAGAAGCCTTCAGCACCAGCTGTGCTGGCCAAAGTTTCTGGGAGGTGCAGTCCAAGAACACCTAGGTTACCCAAGGTTGGGAACCACTGCTCTGGAAGCAGAGATTTACTGGATTCAATGGGAGATGTCATTTTTCTAAATTTCAGAATACTGTAAAAAATAACTTTGTAAGTACAGTAATTTTATCAGCCACACCCACCAGAAAACCCTAGAAATAGGAACTATTAGATCTAGGATTTCCAACCTGTTTCAAAAGAGGGTCCGTTCAGCCTGGTAAAACATCTTAATACCTAGAAATCAGCAGGCAAATCTTTTTTTGTTATGATGGCACATAACAAAAATGTTACGTGCCATCAAGTAATTTCTGATTCATGACAACCCTAGTCAGGTTTTCGAGCTATGTGTGATGTTCAAGGAGTGGTTTAGTATCACCAATCCTTCCCCTGGAACATTTTATTAGCTAGGTGGGGATTTGAACCCACGCCTCCCAGCACTATTCACATCAGCTCACTGGCTCTCCAGCAAGAGTCCCATCATTCTGCTTCTGTTTTTTGTATCCAGACCTTTTATCTGCAGGTATCTGTCAATACGTGCAGAATCAGTGATGTGGGAGCAGCAGCTCATTAAAAAAGCTGGCAAGTCTAGGCCGGGCAGAATGTTCATTTCGTCTCCCAAGCCTGGTTTGCACATTCAAAAGCCAGCAATCAAATGCTGAGAAGCCAAGATATGTTCCTTTGTGAATTGGTTTTGAATCTACTTTGTGAAGTTCATCAGTTTGATTTGAGAGAAAAATGGCAATAACTCAACTAAGAATCAGAATCAGATAATGAAATGGAAAAGACTGGAAAAGGTTTTAGTGGGTACTTTTTCTGCCTACTGGTATTCTTCTCTCTCTCTCTCATTCTCTCCCCCCCCCGAAAGGAAGTGTACAATGGGGAAGAAAGCAGAATGGTGTACAGTGGTGCCTTGCTAGACAGTTACCCCGCATGACAGTTTTTTCGCTAGACATTGACTTTTTGCGATCGCTATAGCGATTCGCAAAACAGTGATTCCTATGGGGGAATTTTGCTGGACAATGCTTCGCAAACCGATTTTTGCTAGACGACAATTTTGACAGCTTCCTCCGCGCTCGCAAAACAGGTGTTTTCGGGATCTAAGCTTCCCAAGACAGTGATTTACACAGCTGATAGGCGGTTCGCAAAGCAGCTTTCCTATGGCCAATCTTCGCTAGACAATGACGACTCTTCCCCATTGGAACGCATTAAACAGGTTTCAGTGCATTCCAATGGGGAAATGCTTTTCGCTAGACAATGATTTCGATAAACAGTGAGTCGAGTTGAGATGTCCAGCGCTCCGTCTTGCCCGGTGTCTTTTGACTCTTTTCAGCCCGTATCGCCCGACACTGTGGCCAGGACGCTTGATCGCTGTCGTGCCACCACCTCCTCTTTGGACCCCTGCCCGGCCTGGCTAATCAAGGCAGCCAGGCCCTCAACAACGGAATGGGCTACTGTAATAATTAATGGGTCTTTCCTTGAGGGTAGATTTCCCTCTGCCCTCAAGGAAACACTCATTAGGCCCATAAGAAAGAAACCCAGTTTGGCGGCGGACGAAATTG